GTGTCAGTAGAAATGGTAACCTTTGACAACTGATTAGATATATGGGGTGGGAGAGAGTGAGACGTCAAGGATAATGCTATTATTATAAACCTGGAATGGGGCAAGAATATTGGTGTCCTTAACAGGGAGGCTGAGAACAAAGATAATGAATTTAGTTTTGGCTATTTTGAGTTTAAAATGTCCAATAGGCAATTTGTACAGCAGGAACAAAGCTCAGGGAAAAGACTGGGACTGGATATATAGATCTATGAGTCAGGTGCATAGAGATAATAGTTAAACATATGAGAGCTGATGAGATTGCACAGAGAAAGAGAGAGAGGAGAGGGAGAGAGAGAGAGAGAGAGGGAGAGAGAGAGAGAGAGAAAGAGAGAGAGAGAGAGACAGAGAGAGAGAGAGAGAGAGAGAGAGAGAGAGAATAGGTGGAGAAGGCAAGGCCAGAAGGTATGATATAGATGATGATACAGCAAAAGAGATTGAATACTTAGGTAGAAATTCAAGAGACAGTAATGTCACAAAAACCCAGAATAAAGAGTGTTAAGGAGGAGGGTATGGTCAATAGTACCAAATGTAGCAGACAGGTCAAAAAGGCAGAGTACTCAGGTTTGGCAATTAAGAGGTCACCAGTAACTTTGGAGACAATAATTTCAGTTGTGTTGATGAGGTCAGGAGCCAGATAGCAAAGAGTTGAGTAGTAAATGATAGGAAAGTGAAGGTAAGGAACACAGGCAGTTTTTATCTACGAGTTTGGCTGAGAAAGAGAAGTGAGAGATAGGAAGAAAACTTGAGAGAATGGTAGGGGGTAGGAAAGTCAATGGGCCTGTGGAGTTCATCCCACAGAGCATGCCTGGAGCCGAGCTGAACTCCCCTGCTACATTCAATGACACATGTGACTTCCTTTTGACATGTTCAAGCAATCCCTTGATTGGTTCCTTGGTCCTCATGATGGTGATGGTGGTGGTAGGGAGTATGCCAAAGAGGCCTGACTACTGAGCAAGAAGAGCCACTCATTCAGTAGGCTTAAAAGGAGATTCTACTTTCACTCTCACTGTCCTCTGTACACGTGGCTTAGGACTCAGCTCTCTCTTGGATTTGCTAAGAGGACAGGGGATTGGGGTGTTCCCCTCAGCAACTATGGAAATTTCATGTGGCATTGAGAGTATATGCTCAAGTGAAGTGAACGGAACATTATACACAATAACAGCAATATTGTTTGATCAACTATAAACGTCTTAGGTATTCTCAGCAATTTAATGATCCAAATCAATTCTAAAGGACTCATGATGAAAAAAGCTACCTACCCCCAAAGAAAGACCTGATGGGTCTGAATGCAGATCGAAGCATACTATTTTTCATGTTCTTTATTTTTTTGTGTTTTTTTTTTCCTTTGGGTCTGTCTTCTTCCACAACATGACTAATATGGAAATGTGTTTCGCATGATTGCACATGTATAACCTATATTAAATTGCTTACTGTCTCAGAAAGGGGGGGTGGAGAGGGAAGGAGGAAAGGAGAAAATCTGGAACTCAAAATAAGAAAAAATCAATGTTAAAAATTGTCTTTACATGTAATTAGGGGAAGTTATGGTTAAAAAAAAAGAGAGAATATGCTCTATGCTCATCTAAATGAACTTGAGACTGGATCAAAGCCTTGAATGCCTCTCCTATTTTCTATTTCTTTCCTTGAATATGAACACAAGTGACTTAACAGTGATCTTGAGAAGGAAGTTTCCAGCCTTGATAGCTACTTTGCGGATTTAAGAGCTTTGGAGTCACTTGGAGGTCCAAGTGATTGGCAGCAGAAGGTACTACCAGAAGCTACTACAGTGATTTTCAGAGAAGATAACCACTGCCAAGAGGATGATCCCAAGCCATGCTCTGGCTTGTCAAAATATACAGACCTTGAGAAAATTGTGCAGATAACGCAGAGCTGAAGTCCCACAAAATGTTTCATGTTTTGATGCTTTAAATGTCAGTCTATTAGGAGAGTTTGATAGGAGTTTTGAGTTACTGTTACATGTTTTAAGTCTTTGTCATTGAGCCCTTATGAGTCTTTCGTGTTATAAGAATTTTATGGTAGAGGAAATATATAACTGTCCCATACATGATTTGGACACTTAGGTGGCACAATGGGATAGAGTGCCAGGCCTGAAACCAAGAAGACCCATCTTTCTGAGTTCAAATCTGGCCTCATACACTTATTGTGTGACCCTGGGCAAGTCACTTAACCCTATTTGCCTCAGTTACCTCATCTGTAAAATGAGCTGAAGGAAATGGCAAACCATTCCTCCACCTTTGCCCAAAAAACAAAACAAAACCCAAATGGGGTCATGAAGAGTTGGACAAGACTGAAGCAATAGAACAAGATATATAATTTACTTTGTCCATTGAAAACTTTTCTAGAAAGAACTATTAATCCTTTTCAGAGAGACCCTAGACACAAGCCACACTTTAGCTTTAAGAGATTTTATCCATGGCTCTAGAGTGAAGAGGTAAAAAGTAGACAATAAGTCTGATTTCTCGAGGCCAAGTTCCCCTCTCAGGGTTAAATCTGGTCAGTGCAGGGGACCCTTAGTGAGAGATGTACCAACTCCCTGGGTTATTGATTATTACACAGCCAAGGAAAATAACTCCTACACAGGTTGTTTTTCCCCTCAAGTTTACAGCAGCAGACCCAGAACTGGAGTTTACGTCACTGTTCAATATGCTCTTTTTTTAGTGCACTACACAAACACACACACACACACACACAGGCAATACTTTGATTAGAAAAGTTCTGAGGAAATCTCTGATACAAGGTTTCATGCTGATCACATCAATTTAATTAACAGTTTAAGTTTAATGAAAAATGTAGTGTTGCAGTACTACAATAGCAACTATACTCAGGTGGTTTGAACCCAAGACTGGTGGGTTATGTATGCCTTTTACAAGTTCCCAAATGAATTATTTCAATCATTTCCCATCTCCTTGCTGCAGAAATGGTGGAGGATGGGAGGAGTTATGTTTCTCCCCAAACCTGTTTTTGGCAAATCTGACACCAAGAAAAACTCATGTGAGGCTAAAGTTTTGCTTCACTAACCATTTGTGTATATACCTTAATCGTTTAATGTGTTCTTTGAGGTAACAGTGTAATGAGATATGACTTCCTTAAGGAGAATGCCAATACAGTGGTATTCAAATGGCTCTACAATTTCATCAACTCAAGTTTGTGCAACTCTTGACCATATCCTTCCCAAAGTTCACCTTACGTGTCCACTCAGCATGGTGGAGACCTTCCTCCTTTTCTCCTGAAATAACAAGAGTGCCAGTGGAGCACTCTGGCCATCTATCCAGTCATCTCTTGCTATCACCATGAGACCAGCGCATCTTTTTTTAGGGAAACAGGAAATTTGTTCTATGGTGCATGCTATCCCCATTACATCAGCCTCAAACACATGAAATCCAGAGCAAGTGGGGGTTAAGTCTGGACTTCTACAGTCAACCCATCACCTGTTTTTGAGTTGTGACCAGTCACCATGTTGTAACATCTAGTAGCTATAAGTAACACTTTGTGTGGGTGGGAATGTTCTTCTAACATGCTACATAGCAGCCCCCACCCATTCTGCCTAGGAGAGTTTGGGGCAGAGGGTGTCCTGATTTTGAGTGGTTGAGCATAGCTATTTGGTGACAACTGAGTTTTGAAAGCTGAGTCCTGAGTTGCAGCTGTTCCCTATAGGAAGGAGGTTGGGTCAGAGGACTAAGTTTTGTTTCCCAGTGCTATTTGAGAACATGCCCTTCTGCTCAATTTCTATTTTGAGGTTACAGTACCATAAGAGAAGTCTTCACTCAACATGCGCTTCCAGCTTTCTGGCATTTCATCAGTTTAGACAAAAGTTCAATTGGTCTTAAAATATGGTTAGGGAAAAATCACCACGGCAAAGCTTCGTCTTTGCTGCCGGTATTGGTTAAGCCCCCATGATCTAAGTACTATTTTCCTGGAATGCTATCTACTATTCCCATTTAGTGATTTCCAAATTTCTTCCCTCTAAAGACTCATGTTTACTCCTCAAATACCCATTATAGTAGTCCTTCAGAGAAGAGGCAAGATCATAACTGAATTTGCAAGTCCCCAAATGAACAATGAAGTGAGTAGATTGTCACCTACATTAGGGTCCAAAAACCTTCATAATACTGGGACTCAGGGAACCATAGGTGGTAGGGTGATAAAAAGCAGGAGGTGAGAATGAATGATAATTGATAATGAGGGGTGCTGAAGTAAGATGATAATGGGTCAGAATTACTATTGCCAATATCTGAGAGGGAGGCTTGGCTAGGAGACACATTTAACTCCTATGCCTTGGATGCACTATTCTGGTTTGTTTTCCATAAAGGGGAATGACATGATTTTTTCTATCTTTTGCCAAGACCCTAGAGTTAGAGAATAAAACGGGGTTATGCCCCCCAAACCCTAAGGCACATTATCTGTATTTCATATTTTGGTACTCAATCATATGCTGTTTTACATGCATATATTTTTAGATGTGGGCAACAAAGGAATTTGTTTTTCTCTACTATGTATATTTGTTAGAAAGGTTTTTTTCCCTTTTAAATGCAGGAGGGTGGGCGGGAAAGAAAAGAAATGCTTGCCAATTAAAAAAATAAAATTTAAAAAATTGTTGTTTCATTGCTTAAAGCATGTTAGTTTGGTCTCTCCCAAAAGACTGTATCCTCTGTAAGGGAGGTTTTGCAGCTTTTATGTCATCTCATCATCCAGAGTCTACCCTACCTACTGAAAATATTATAGACACAGAACGGAATTTTAAGAGAAGACTACTTTCTGGTTTCAATAGAAGTGGATATAGGGAGACCATGATTCACTGAAGCATCTTCTAATGGGATTTCCTTCCTTTAGAAAAACACTGGCACTTGGACAGGGATGGGAGGACAGAAACCAACCACATGCCTTTGGCTTGGCTACTTCTCCCTGGGACAGTGAGTGACCCACTAACTGAAAGAATGAATCAGTGCCTTTTCAACGTGCAGAATTTTATTTCATTCAGAATGGGCATGAGTGCATAACAAAGTCATCTGGTATTTCTGTTATTCTAAAGATCATGAACACAATACAAATACTGGCAATTGTGTCATTCTTGAAAATAAGGTTTCTGGCAGCGAGACTTAGAGGTAGTATCGAATATCCTAGTCTACTACCAACAGGTCATCTCCATTAAGTTTTTAGTTTAGTCTGATTCACTCACACTAAAGCGGACTACTGAGGAAGACGCTACACAGTTTCAAGTTTTGCTGGCCTTGGGGCGTTGGGTTAAACCAGGATCCTCAAGTCCAGCCCTTTGACTGAATCCAAACTTTACAGAACACTGGGGAACCTGAGGACCTAGAGGGCTTCAGGTTCCCCACCCCTGGTGTTAAACCAATCACCCCCACCATATTAAAGGCAAAAGTACAAGTAGCTCATATACCTTGCTCAGATCTCTTTGCTACTTGGGAGCAATTTTTATGAAGGGCAGGTGGGGAAAAAAGGATGAAATAGCCAAAAAAGGAGCCAGAAACTCTTTTACTTAAGAGTTCCACAAGTAATGCCCTTAGGCATAGGGAGAGAAGAAAGAAAAAAGAGAGGAAAAAGGAAAGAAGAGAAAGGAAAAGAAAGAAATATAAAGACAAGAAGATTTAAATGGTGATGGCCATCAACAATTGCCTTCACTGTCCCTGGTCCTCAGAGTACTAATGCCCCCAGTTACTTCCACCAAGTCTAGAGGGAGAGACTTGGGATTGCAGTGAATGGTATTCCTTATTATTTCTGGCTCCCTTCATTAGCACAGGGAACTGAGTTGACCTTCAAGCATAGCCTGGAGTTAGTCATTTTAGAAGATCACCAGTACTTAAGAATCTGACTAATTAATCTAACATCTATCACTGTGATTACTTCAATCCGGTCGATTACTTTTAGCTCCTAAGACTTCGGTGGCCAAAGAGGCTTTCGACGGATTTCCATTGCCTGTGTTCTTCATCTGGTAGGGCCAATGTGACCCTCCTTAAGCCACAGAAAAATTGAACCAAGTAGTGTGATTATACTCTTCACCTGGATGGAGCAGTACACGAGGAAAATGTGGCTGTGTAAAGAAAAGACACTAGTTAGACACCTTGACACCCAGGCTCTGGGGACTACAACAGGAATGATAATAATTTTTTGTGATAATAATTTCCTGTGATTTTACTGGAATAGAAGAAATTCCCTATACCAATCAGTAGCTGCTCGGCAACTTAATCATTTTATAAAACCAAATGACTTGCCCAGAGTCACACAGCCAGGATATGTCAGAAGCAGGACGTGAACCCAGGTCTTCATGACTCCAAGGCCAGTTCTTTATCCAGAATGCCAGGCCGCAATGCCTTCTCAATAATGACGACAATGATACTTATGAAGGGTGGATGTGGTACAGTGGAAAGGGAGCAGACTTCAGACTAAAGAAGAACTGTGCTGGGGCAGCTAGGTGACACAGTGGATAGTGCACTACCCCTGGAGTCAGGAGGACCTGAGTTCAAATCCAGCCTCAGATATTTGACACTTACTAGCTGTGTGACCCTGAGCAAGTCACTTAACTCTGATTGCCTCAACAAAACAAAAAACAACCATGTCTAAATCCTGACATGCATTAGCTGTGTGATGCCAGACAAGTTATTTAACTTCTCAGTACCCCAGACAACCAAGTATAAATTGCAGAGAAGGTGCCAGTCTGTATTGGCAGGTATTGTATTCCTCACTGGGAGTTTCTTATGCCAATGAATATCACAGGTTCAGATCCTCCCCTCCTCTAAATAGCAGCTGATACCTATACAGCACTTGAAGGTTTACAAATCAATTTATATACATCATCCCATCTGATCCCCATAACCAGTGCCTGAGATAGGTGTATTATAGGCCCCAATTTACAGAATTAGAAAGGTCGAGTGACTTTTCTATTAAGTATGACAGCCTGGATATGAACCAAGGTATTGCCAGGCTCCAAAGTCCAGTGCTCTTTCTATTACAACATGCTTTTTCTCAGTAATAGGCCACAAGATTAAGAACGTCTTCTCTGATTTCTTTTTGAACAGCAAAAATCTAATTAGAAAAGAGTAATGTTAGATAACCAAGAAGAAAAGAAACAATCACAAGTTATTCTTAAATCACTTGACCTCACAAAGTGCTCAGCAACTTAGCAGAAATATTAAACTCCTCCCAAACTTCTGGTGACAGAAACAGGGAAAACAAATAAAAGAGTGCAGTTTCTGAAACTCTGGTCCCATCAAATATAGAAATGCAATGGGAACAACAGGGCCAGGACTCGTCAATGTCCATTTTCCTCTCTCTGTCATTGCTTTGATCTTTCCTCCTCCATTTGGTGAAAAGATCATTAGAAGAAACCTCTCATCAGTTGTAATCACCTTCAGAGACCCTTCTACATTAATTTAATTTGGTTTTATTCTAGACTGTCCGATGGAAGGACCAGGTTATATATAACCAGGCTTGAATGCCGGCACTGGGAAAATTCAAATGGTGCAGGGGTTTTAACCTGAGGTCTGTGAACTTAAAAATTTTTTTTGGATAATTTGACTTCAATGTAATTGGCTTCCTCTGTAATCCTACGGATTTTATATAAAGCAATTAAAAATGTTCTTCTGACAAGGGGTCCGTAGGCTTTAAGCAGATACCTTTTCACTTTTCTTTTTGTATCCCCAGCGTGCCTGGCACATAATAAGAACTTAATAAGTGTTCATTGATTGACTGACTAATTATCATCCAGTATGTGAAAGGCAAAGTTTCAGGAGCTTGCCAACCATCCCTTTCCAGCTTCACTAAAGGTCAGGTGATGAGGAGTGAGTCAAAATGGTAGGAGAGATTTAGGTTAGATATAAAAAAGAAACTTCCCAATCATTCACTTTATGAATTGATTTCTGAGAAAATTTGTGGGATTTTCCTTCCAATTACACCACTTCAGTGGGAAAGTGTGAGCAAAGTCCTACTTTCCTCACATGGAGATCCAGATCATTTCCCCTCACAGATTATTTCCAGCCCTAGAAGGAGAGTTCTGGCCATTGTAATAATAAATAATTGTGTGTGTAAATGAGGACTGAACAATAACCTTCAGCCCTGAAATTAAGGAGCATGAAAAGGCAGCACGGTTTAGTGGAGAGAGCACCAAATTTAAATTCAGGAAGGAGACCCATGTTTGAATACCTCCTCTCACCCTTCCTAGCTGACCAAGGGCAAGTCACATGACCTCAGTTTCCTTACCTGTAAAATGGGCTTAATAAAACCTGTTAGCATAGTACCTGTCTTACAGGGCTACTGTGATGATTAAAGGAGAAAATACATGTAAAGCGTCACCCAAACCTTAAGACCACATAGAAAGGTCAGCTGTTACTAATAGGTGTTCAACATAACTAATAATAGGCTTGGGAGTTCCAGCAGATAAATGGGGTGCCCAAAGCAGTTGCCTGCATTCTACCTCTTTGGAGCACATGGGGGAGTCAACACCAAGACACTGAGATGAGTGACAGAGTGTCATGGGTGAGGCCAGTCTGGTTGGAGTGAAGGGGAGTAATGTATGAAAAGGACGCAAAGAGATTTGGGTAGCCCCTAGTTTAAGCCTTCTCTTCTCTAGGCAAAATGATACCAATCCCCCTACCATAATCATAACTGTGCAGGGCTGTAATGACCAGAAAACCAATTTACTGTCTTGTACAAGGTCTCAGCTGTGACTAGTAAGAAGAGGAGTGGAGGAGTCACCTGTAAATTTGACTTTACCTTGTTGACTGCATCTGGCCAGTTCTGGGTCTCAAGGCAAAAACCTGAGTGTTTGGGGTACACGGCACCCCCCTTTCCCTTCAGTGTTCCATCCAGGAAATTGGCTGTGTAAAACTGAACCCCGGGCTGGGTTGTGTATACTTCTAGCTTCCGTCCAGTTCGGGGATGATAGACCCTGGGGAGAAAAAAATTGAATGATAAATAATTCATGTTTTAGAAAAGTAGAAGAGAGAGGAGAAAGGGTAAACTACTGGGAAATATATGGGTCTAGAAGAGGCAGGAGGAGCAGGGAAGAGAGACAAGAAATAGGGCAAAGACAAGAAGAGTTAATGGAGACATACAGGTAAGAGGAAGAAAAATTAAAAAGAAAAGTTTTCACACAGTGGAAGACAATTATTAGTTGATCAGTTAACAAACACTTATTTCAGTTCCTATTATATGCTAGGCACATTGAGGACACAAAAGTGTGTACAGGCACAAACAAAATGTACGTAAAATAGATAGAAAATAATTTTGGGCAGGGAGCCATTTTACTCCCCACCCCCACCCCATGGCCTCCTAGGGGAGGACTGAGCAGGCCCCAAATGAGGGTTATTTTAAGTAGGGGCTCTGAGTCGTAGGTACAGTTCAAATCAATTTACCCTAGTCAGTCTAGTACAAGGGTGGAGAACCTTTGGCTGAGGCCACATGTGGCCCTATAGGTCCTCAAGTGCAGTCCTTTGACTGAATCCAAACTTCCTTAATAAAAGGATTTGTTCTGTAAAACTTGGACTCAGTCAAAAGGCCGCACCCAAGGACCCTTGAGGCCACACAGTAAACTTGGAGGAATGAGGTAGAGTTATGGCACTGGCCAGGTTGGAATCCCTTCTCAGAAAGATTCAAGGACTTGGAGAAACAATCTATTAGAAAGGTAGCAATTTCTTTTCTGAGTTAAAAATGCTACCTTATCCTCTGTAAGTGTTGAGATCCAGAGATCATAGAATTGATTGAGATCTAAATTCCAAATTTTAAATCCTGAGATCATAGATTTAAATTTAAAGGGATCTTAGGTTATCTAACCCAACCTCCTCATTTTACAATTCAGGAAACTGAGGCCCAGTAAAGTGAAGTGATTTGTTCAATACAAATCCTACATGATTTCCAAAGGGAGGGCTGGTTCCCCATTAGTCTCCTGTAACCTAGTGCCTCGCTGCTAGAATGAATGAAAGGTGTCTGACCTTGCACAAAAACGCTTCTCCTGTGTATCTTTCAGACAGAAGTTGTGGTCAAAACCATTAATCTGGAACTTCTCCATGTGCTTTCCAAGTTCCACCGGCTTCCTCAGGTCAAATGCAGTGCCCTGCACAGATTCCACTTTTCCTAGTAAGAGGTAGGAACAAAAAAAAAAAGAAAGAAAGAAAAGAAAAAGAAAAAAAAAGGAAAAAATTTGATTAACAAGTGCCAACATGACACACATACCTGTGTGTATATACATACATGTATATTTTATATGTATGTATGTATATGCGTGTGGGTGTGTGAATATATATGTATTCATAGAAAGAGAGAGAACACATTCTCTCTCTCCAAATACTTATATGTAACAGGAGGAAAGACGAGAGGTTGGTTGGGTAGACACGCTTTCAGCCTTTTCTCCGGGCAAAGTGACCCCAATCCCTTTAACTTAGATGTAGTCTAACTATGTAAGGCTTTACTGACCAGAAAAACTGACTTGAACAAGGTCTCAACAGCTACTTAAACTGATCTTAGAAGGAGGTCATAAGCCCAAATTCTGTAACAATGGTTCCAAATACTTGAATTTGGCTATTTATCTGTGGCAAGGCTAAAACATGAGAAGTGAGTTGATACCTCAAAGAGACAAGAAGAAATTAGGAACTTCTATTTGACAATGTGGGGAAGAAAGAATTGGCTGGTGTCCCACTTCATTTACTTCTGCTTTTTGTGGGTTCCTAAATGATAAGACGAAAGGAGACATCCCCCCCCAAACCTACTACCTGAGACAAAGAGCAAGCCTCCCTTTTCTATAGCACAATCTGCTCTCCCTTTAGGAATTTAGGAATGCTGTGAAGTTAGTTTGGGAAGGCTGGCATCTTCAAAGTCTGCAAGTAGTAACTGACTTCTTATTCTACCAGGGCTTCACTGTAATGATGACATAGTCATTTTGGTAAGATCACTGAGGAGACTGGGTGTTCCTTGTAGAGGTCAAGGGATATGTGTGTGTTGCGGGATGGGGATTACTCAACAGGACCGTTATTTCTCTCCCTGTCCCTAGGACTTCCTTCTTCTGGACCTAGACAATCCACCCATCCTACCCTACAGTCCTTGCCCTTATCAAAGCGATTCATCCCATCTATTCTATGTCCCATTTCTTCAAGACCTACACTTTCCACCACTCAAGAAAAACAGACAACAAATAAACTTTAAGAAAAAATTTAGCTGGGACCTGGGAGTAGAGGAAGTGGAGTCTTAGAGGGATTCCTGCGGCACTGAGAGGTCAAGTGAATTGCCCATAGTCATAGAACTAGTATGTCTAAGAGGCAGGACCTGAGCCCAGGTCTTCCCGACTCTGAGGCAAGCCCCTGACTGTTCTTCCAGGCTGCCTCTCATTGTTCAATAAACTCCTCAATGTAAATATTATTAATGCATACTAATGTCTTAACCATTACCTTTCCCAGAAAACAAACTTGGATTTTAAATCAGATTTCCTGGAGACACAATGTCCTACGATGATTAATAATTTTATAGCTGGATAGGACCTGAAGAGATCATCTTGTCCAACTTCTTCAGAAGAGAAGAAACAGGAAAAACAGAGAAGGGAGTGATTTGCCCAAGGTAACAAAGCTAACTCATGAGAGTCAGGACTAGCACTCAGGGCTCTGGAATCTCAAGCATAGAGCTTTTTCCACTACATATTCCCAAAGGAGTGACTTTAATGGTGGAAGTTCCAGGCATCTGAGGGAAATAAGTAGGTATATGCATGTGTCTTTTTAGAGGTCCTTAAAACTACATAATGAAACTACTCTATTTATGTTGGAAGGAGACCAATCCTCTCCCTTCCATTTGGTACCCACGGCTATGACATTGACTCTTTTAAAGTTAGTGAAATTGGCAAAAGTTATGAGATGGAATATGCCCAATGTTGATGTAATACACGTTCTCTCCCCACTAAAAGCAGAAGTGAAACCCAACTCATGGCATTTCAAAGACACACACATATAGAGAAATGAAAATAAGACAAAACAAAGAAGCAAGATTCTAGAAGTTAAATTTGGACTGAATCTTCAGCCTGATTGCAAAAGGCTTTTGATTGCAGAAATCTAGTCTGGTAAAATAATGAATTCTTTCCCCCTATGTGAACACATTCATCTGGTTTAGCCTGAATGTAGATTACAGCAAAAGTATTTTGGTGCTCCTGATTGAATTCATTCATGCAGATTAGAGTCCCCTCAGAACAACGGCTGGCAAACCCTTTCTGCCAAGTGGGCTAGGGTTCTGGCCCAGTTCAAGTTGTTTATGGAGCTCCATCCCCAGAGGATTTTCCACAGACCGGGCCAAAGTGGCCTTCATGGTGGTGAAGCAGAGATGGGCTGCCTGCTTAGCCACCCCATACTAGCAGATTGACTGGTGCCAGGAAGAGAAGAAAACGACTATGAGAGATCTCTTCCTATATCCTAACTTAGGACCCTTGTCTGATAGATCCACTTCCTCGTCAACTCCACACCATGCTACAGGTCAAGTCCCCCTCCCTCCTGTTCCTCCCTCTCTAGCTCCTAATAGAAAACAAGCTCCTTGAGGGTAGGGACTCTTGCTTGCTTGCATTTATAGCCTTAGTATTTAGTACAGTGCCTGGTACATGGTAAATGCTTAATATTCTTTCATTCTTTCTTTCTGTCAATTTATCTGTCTATCTATCTATCTGTCTGTCTATCTGTCTATTTATCTATCTATATTCTTTGAGTTTTTTGAGAAGCTTGGTTCCACCCATTCAGGATGAATGACCTAGGAAGATGTAATTATTTACCACTAGAAATTATCTGGGGGTGTCCGCATCAAGCTCTGCCTTTGCTTATGGCCAGAATGTATCAGCTCCTCCAGCACTCCCTCCATCCCGCCCCAGTGAATTAAGTGGATGACAGGGTACAAGGTAACAACTAGCCCACTTTTACCACCTGGTCACAGAGGCCAGAAGCCACTCATAGACTGCCCTGCCTGCCATCATGCACAAGGGGCAGCTAGGCCCTTTGATCACCATCCAGCCTTGAACCTACCTTCCCCACAACTCCCCAACCCATCTCTGATCCTCAACACTGAACTGCAAGGGCTCTGAGTATGGTCAGTCTCTGCTCCGGTGGCCCCAGGAGCCTCTGCAGACTTTACAGACCCAGAGCTGGCCCCAAGAAACAAGCAGCTGTGAGATCTTATCTCGCTTCAGTGGCAGTGTAGACATGAGACAAGCAACAGGTCTAACCTCAGGTCTGAACTAGTGATCTAGGAGACCCATCTCTTAGAGGTAATGAGATCATCAAGGGAGAGAATGTGTATAGAGCAGGTAAGAGGCCTCAAGACAGAGTCTTGGGAGTCATCCATAGTAATGAAGAAGATGGAGCAGCAAAGAGATTGACAAGGAGGGGTCAGACAGGTAGAAAGAGGACCTGGAGAAAGAGGGTCATGAGCCAGTGAAAGATAAAAGTATCCAAAAGGAAGGGGTGAACTACAGTGACAAAAGCAGCAGAGAGATCAAGGAGGATGAGGGCGTAGAAAAGTCTTTCGGATTTAGCAGATGAAAAGGGCTGAGCAATGAGCTGAGTGTTAAGAAGTGGAGAGACAGAGGAGAGGTAAAATGAGCACATTTCAGATGTGACATGATGATGCCAGAGGGCAAAGAGGGCAAGATCCACACAGAAAAACAGAACAGACAAGGTTGGCGGTGAAATTCTCAAAATTAGAAGCTTAAATAGTATATAGTTCTTGTTGAACAAGAGAAAGGAGAAGGAAGTAGAAGGGGGAAAGACAAAAGGTTCTGTAATACTAAGGCAACAAGGAGGCCCAAGTGGAGAGAATGTTGGACCTGGAGTCAGAAAAAGCTGAGTTGGAATCTTCTTGCTCCCAATACATACTGGCTGTGTAACCTTGGCAAAGTCCCTTAACATCTCTGGGTTTCAGCATATTAATGTGTGAAATGAGGATAACAACAGCTAGGGATTATAGAGGATCAAAGGAGACAGCATACTTAAAGCACTCTGCAAACTTCAAAGAGCTATATAACTATATATATAACATACAATATATTATCATCTGCTATTATTACCCTAAAGCTTAGGCAGGGGTGGTGTGGGGTGGGGTATATATATACCCTATCACCTGACAGCCTCTTTCCTGCCCACCCCTCACCAGTAAGGGTTTTGTTTTTTTTTTTTAATTTATTTTTCCTCACTCAGCAAGGATCAGGAGAATGAACCTGTAGTTCTGCTAACTTTGGTGGTCTGCAAAAAATAGGGCTGTGCCTCTGATAATAAAAAGAGAACTAAGTGTCAAAGCAGTTCTCTTAGAAAGCTTCAGAATACCGGAAACTCAATCAGAGATAGAATGGTGCTCTCCAACTGTTGACTCATTTGAATTTTGTTCTTTCACACACACCAGAAAGGCCTGGGTTATCGGAGAGATAATTGTTTTCTGAAGACAATTTCCTGCCTTCTCGGTACTTCATCGGGCATTTTGGTCTGAGTATTGAGATACCAACTGATTAGACTTCATCCTAAAGAAACAGGGTGGCAGTTCCAGTACAAAAGCAGCTGCCCACGGTGTAATCCCTCTCCCTCAATTTCTGGAATTTCTCCCAGAAAAAAAAAAAAGAAAGTTTTAGCTCTGGTTTTCTGAGCAAAACTTCTGAATAAGGCACGTATCCCTTGCTGTCAGAAAGCTACGTTCAGATTTTTAAAAGGGCAGACGCAAGAAGAGAAAGGAGACACCTTCCCAAAGATGAATCCAGAAGTCTGGCATGGAACTGGAATGAACAATAAAAACAGTAACATCAAGGCTCTAAAGATGAGAAAGGATTGCGGCTCATGAGAAAGGTTATAGGAAATAAAAAGAGGCTTTTTAAAAAGTTATGTTTAGAATAACTGGCATATAAAGATGGCATGGCATGGTAATAAAGACCTGGCCTTGGAATCAGGAAGACCTGTGTTCAAATCCTGCCTCTGACACATACTATTGGTTGTATGGCACTGAGCAAATCATTTAACTTTTCTGGGCCCTAGGCAACTCTCTATGACTAAGGTGCCTGTCCACATTGGTAAGAATTCCAATGATAGCAAGGATTTGGACCAGAAAAGAAAAAAAAAACCTGGTTGATAGTT